GGAAAGTCATTTATCGTGGTGAAGATCATGGCACGTAAATTGAAGGTCTCTTGTTTATATGCATCAAACACATCAACACCTTCCTCCCATAATTTCTTCAGATCTTCAATCAAAGGTGCCAAATACACATCGATATTGTTTCCCGGTTGTTTTGGCCCCGAGATCATCAAAGATAGCATGATATACTTTCTTTTCATACATAACCAAGGAGGCAAGTTGTAAACTACGAGGAGCACTGGCCAAGCACTGTGCGTGCTACTAAGATTACCATATGGGTTAATTCCATCTGTACAAAGCCCTAGCTGAAGGTTTCTTGGCTCACCACCAAATTGAGGAAATTTTTGATCTATTGTTTTCCATTGAGGAGAATCTGCTAGGTAACGAAGCTTTCCATCACGTATTTTCTCATCGAAATGTCATCTCAAGTTCTTTGCATCTGTGGCATTAGCAAATAGACGTTTAAATCGTGGTATTATTGGAAGATACCACAGAACCTTTAAAGGAGAACCTTTGGTCATCTCATTATAATCACCATCATCTTTTTTCATTTTATATCTTGAAGTCCCACATTTAGGGCACTTATTCAACCCTTCATAATCATTTCTGAATAATATGCAGTCATTAGGACACGCATGTATCTTCTCATATTCTAAACCCATCGGACACAAAATCTTTTTTACCTCATACATTCGTTTCGGAAGTGAATTCCTTTTAGGAAGAATATCACTCAGCAATTCAAGCAATTCCGTAAAATTAGCATCGATCCAACCATTTCTTTTCAAATTCATCAGTTTCAATACGGTTGTCAACCTTGTGTAATCATCTTTGCACCCTGGGTATAAAGGCGTCTCTGCATCACTACACAAAGTTTCAAATGTGGGAGAGAACTGTGTAGAGGATTCAGACCTTATATCACGAAACATATTCGAAATTCTATCACCAGTCTTCATTTACAACCTTCTCATTTGCAGACAATGTAGTCTTTCTAATTTCTCCATGCCATATCCAATTTGTATACTTCAAATTTATCCCATCACAGATAAGATGCTCTTTTATCTTAGAAATACTCCGTCGACTATTGTTTAAACATTTGACACAAGGACAATAGTACAATTCATCTCTTTTACTAGGAGCATTTCTCTGAGCAAACTCAAGAAACCTTTCAACCCCATCCTCATATTCCTTGCTAATTCCCTTAGCTTTCATCCAACTACGATCCATTGTTCTACAGAGTCAATGAATATAGTTGTCAAGCTTAATTCTAATGCCTTAATTCAAATATTGAAATAATAAAATCATTAAATGTTAGTCAATAAATTAAAATTGACTAACACTTAATTACAAATTAAAGGAATGTCTCTTTTTTAAAAATAAAAAATTTGACAAAATTTCCCCTTAACAACTATGTACAAATTAAACACCAAATTAGAAAAAAAAACTCAATTTTTAATCAACATGAATCCACAAATAAAACAAAAGTAAAAATAACATATTTCAACGGATGAAATAGTTAAACAAAAATTATTTTAATAAACAAAAAAATATTGTTCATAACATATTTCAACATGATAAATTTGAAAAAATATAACAAATTTGAAGAAATATAACAAATAAAACAAAAAAATTCAATTTCAAACCAATTTAATTAATAAAGATTTTTAAAGCTAAAACTTCTGAATCCAAAACGGGAACACAAATGATATCCATTTGCAGTGAAATTTTAAACAATACTTTACTATCAATCAAATTTCATAACGAAAAAAAAACACAATAACAAACAGATTATTTATTACTAGATTCTTATATTTATTACAAAAAAAAACCAAAAATTCGAAATAATATAAAAAATTATAAAAAAATTTAAAAACTTCACAACTAATCAATGTCAAACATTTAAACATGTTTCTAATACGGTATATAAGAAGGAATTAAGGTTTTCTCACATCCAATGGCCACCAATCAACGGTTCAACCACATAAAAATGCAAAATGAACAATACAAGCCAACCACAATGTAAAACTAACAAACCCATTTCAAATACAACAGATTTTCATGGCCAAAACATTCAACAAACCAAGAAAAATTGAAAAGAATAAAAGAAGAGGATACTCACAGAGTAGAGATGATTCAAATGTGAAATGAGGGGTGTTCGAACGGCAGCAGACGGCGGCAAGACACCACAAGCTCAATGGAGGAGTTTCAATGGTGAGGTAGTGGGGGGAATGGCCAGTAATGGAAGTTTTTTGGTGGTGGACAGAGGGGGGCCACGACGCACTACTAATGAACCGAGAAAGAATGACTGAACATGAAGGTCGTAGGGTTAAGTGAACACACTTTCCACGGCGGTTTTCTTAAAAACCGTCGTGGAAAATAACCACACATTCAACTTATTTACAAAAATGCCACCACCTTTTTTTCCACGTCATTTTTATGCTTAACCGCCATTATTTTGCGACGTTAAAAGTCTTTTTTCTAGTAGTAAGATAACTCCATAATTTTTAAGCATGTTTATTCACATTGTATCTGAAGTGATTTCCTCTTGCACCATTGTCCTCTTTAAGCATAGTTATTGCCATTTAGCAATTATAACTCATCGACAAGAGTCAATTTTACACCAAAATATTTGCTAAGATATTTTTAACACCTTAGCCTCTACTCACCACTAGAGGTAAATGCTCACTAGTGAATTTTGTCATATAAACTAATTTGAAAGAGATATATAACATTAATAATAACAGAGGTTATCGATAAAATTAATATATCCACACAACGTCAGAACCTTCACAGCTTTTTTTAGGTTAAAATCCATATAATTCCCCTCAACTTTGAGTAAGTTGCATGCAACCTCCCTCATCTTCAAAAATTTAAAACCAAAACCCTAAGCTCTTATATTTTGACGGTTGACCCCTTGCTGTTAAAAACATTGTTAAATCTAACAGAATGCATACTATATCATATTAGTTAGTATGACTTGGCAAATGAGGTGGAATTTTTTTATGCTCCATCAATTAAATACTCAAGGTTTGTTCAGCTATTCTACTAAAAGCAAACCCTAGTTTTCTTTTTTTTTTTTGGCCTTCTATTCCCTTAACATTTTCCTCTCTTCAACTGCGTTGTTTCTTTAGTATAGAGATTTAAAAAAAATGCCTTGGCTTCAAGGTATGGGCTCGCAATAGTGATTTGCAAACGTTCGCTGTTTATGCTGATTTGTATGCGCGAGTGATACGAAGATTGAGCAATTTTCTTAATTGATACTCTACATAATAAGAGGGGGATGACTATTAAATGTACAAAATATTAGCAGTGAACATGAGACTTTGATCAGTGAATGACCAAAAGGGCTTGTAGGCATGACAAAATTTCACAAAACCCAAAAAAAAAAAAAAACCATTATGTGATACTTCGAAGGAAAAAGATGAAGGATGTAATATATATGTATAGAAATAGAACTGACATTATGAAGGTGGTAGATTGATCTGCATTCTAGAAGTTGAAACAAGCTGTAGAAAATAAATTTGTGACGAACGAAGGAGATGATTGAATTGGGAAAGGGGATTTAGGGACTGACATTCATAGAATGACAAAATTACCCTTTAAGCAAAACTGTGCATTCAATCAATGAATTAATGAAATATTAAAAATTGCATGTGATTTTCCAAGTCATCCTGACTAATACGATATGGCACATATTTTGTTACATCTAACTGTTTAGTTAACGGCAAGGACCTAGTGATTAAAATATGAAAGATCAGGGTGTTAGTTTTAGACTTTTAAATATGAGGGGAGTTATTTGCAACTGATGTAAAGCTAAAGGGGGTTATCCATATTTTAGCCTTTTTTTTTTTAATACTACAATTCATTATATATATATATATATATGACAATAAATGTGTAAACTGCCAAATTGAGAAAAGCTTATATTACTCCTTCAACGTTTCAACATTTAAATAGACTTTAAAATGTTGAGCATCATAAGGACACTAATATATTAAAACCCATAAAACGCATGGAATACAATACACACACACTCCAAAAATTAACCGAATTAATGAATTAATACAATATAGTGCACAATCCGGGTCGTATTCACTTTGAAGAGCCGAAAATGAAATTAAACCCTAGTAAATAAATACACGTAACCTAAATTATAAAAAGGATTTTTGATTTGAGAATTTCTAATTAAACACCATGAATTAAGTTGAAATTAAAATACCTTTTTTTTTGTTTTTATGTAAAAAATGATTAAAATGAATGAAGATTAAAGAAATGAAAATGAGACACACAAATAACATTGATTAAAAATCCATCTTTCAATTCAACAGTGTAGGCAATCCTCACTCCAAAAGATATGGGAGTTAAAATAATGAATTAAAAATTATAATTAAGCTTTTAATCCAACAACCAAGCCACCTCGAATTATCACAAAATATTTTTCCAAAATCCTAATTTACTAACTGCAACCAGAATAGTAAAATAGAATTAAGGATGCTTAACTAAAATTCTTAAATCCAAAATAATAGAATTAAAGCTAGCAAGAGACAATATGATCCAAGATTCCAAGCTACCTCAGAAAATCACAATATATTAACTCTAAAATCAATACAAATGTCATAACCACAACATTATAATTGAAATTAAAGTTATAAACAATCCAATGTCAAATGCTAAACAATAATCCAGTCACAATAATCTCCAAATATAATCAGATTAAACAATAAAAATTTTCTAATAATAAGAGTAACTATCCTAAGACCTAGGAATTATTAAATAATTATTAGACAGGAAATTAAAGCAACTAAAACTCCCCTTTAAAGATTCAAGCTCCTGCCATTATTATTGAATTAGAGGATTACGGAGCTCTAGCCTCGGTTTGCCATCAAATTCGCTGCCACCAGCAATCCACCGTATCCAGCCATGAAGAATATTGAAGGAGGAGTGAAGATTCAGCGAGAATAGGATATGGAGGCCTGATTACAGGTTCACGGCGTCACTGCTCTGTTATGATTCTATCGTGCCGTCACAGTCCTCTGGTCCTCACTGGTTCTGTTGACGCCGAGAAGAAGAAGGTGAAGTCGCCGATGATGATGATTCTCGTGTTCTCCCTCTCTTCTCCACCGTCGCTGGTGCCCCCCTCGCGTTCCGCTTCCTCTGGTTTTTTCCCAGCCGCCCAGCTCTCTCCGTTCAGCGTGTTCTACCCCCGCAAGATGAAGATGTGAATATTCGATATTAGGGGTGGAGCAAAACGCAGCGTTTTGCTCCCCTTTTATTATTTTATTATTTTTCTTTTATTAATTTATTTTTTTCTTTTATTTTTTATTATTTTTTTATTTTTTTTCAAAATCTTCCAAAAACCTGCAAGCAAAAAATTAAAAGATAAGGTAGCATTAATCGTTCTCAAAAATCAATTAGTCACAATTAAACCAAAATATGACAATTTTGTCCCTATAAAATAATAATTCAAAATAAAACATATTAAATCAATTAATCAATCAATTAAAGTCAAAAGGGACTAATTAAGTTGACAAAATCCATATAAAAGATATCAAAATATATAAAAATAATCGAGTTTGTCATTCATAAAGCCAAATTTCATAAAACCCAATCATGCATGTGGCATTTAAGATATGAGATTAAGAAACCCATAAAACCCAGCATTATATGAAACCCCCCGGTCACCCCTTTAGCTTGCTGTTTATCCAACCAAATTATTATATCTCCTTGGAAATAAAATTTCTTCCCCTTCTCAGAGAAATAAAAAATCATTTTTGTGATTACTGCACCTAGCATATAAATTCCATTGAGATAGGTTCAGATTCGTTGAAACTAGTCCAATGGTCCACTTTTTTTTTTTTTTTTTGGTGAAAGCAATGGTCCACTTTTGCTAAGCTATTAATGTTACCAGATTTTGATATACACAAACAACTTTTTGTTCCAACACCCAACTATTATCACGTTAAGGATAATTTAAGTAAAAACAGTCACAAGACTTGTTCAGCCATCTGTGGTACGAAACCACTGCAATATTTATGATAATATCTACTAACCATGATGAAGATCTCATATCACTCAAGCGTATATCTGAACGATTATAAAAGTAAACATTAAGATAGAGACGCACCTATTAAGTGATCAACTATCTATATCTTGGAAAGGATCTGAAAAATTCTCAAAGTAAGATTCACATGTGGACAAGTGTGGTCCCACAAAGATTATGATGAGTCCCGTAGGAGGGGAAATTGGATACTTTTCCGTGACAAAGTCATAGACCCACTTTGAACATAATCTCGTTTTACTATACTCTCACCATGTATAGCACGAACTCATACTCCCTTCCATTCTCCAATATCACAAGACCTGCAACATGTCTTTTATTTCTTTGTGTTCACACCCACCAATGTCCACCTTTCTCATCTCTTCGTACTCACCAACCAAATGAATTGGAGATTGGTATGTGAGTCAAAACTCAATCCTCATATCATCCCTGACCTCTACAATTACCAGAGGTTCATCCCTTATCATCTCAATTCTGCCATAGAGAAGAAGAGGAGCGGCTTAGCCAATTTCTCCATTATGAGGTCTCAAAATTGTCCTAAAAGGAGGCATAAATAAAAACGTGAGACCAACTCAATATTTCTCTTATTCAAGAGAAGATAGAATTAGAAGTACTAAAATAGGACAAAGCTTAGATGCCTCCCTCTTCGGTAACTTTGCCGCCAATGAATGCAAAAACAATTGATGCAAGTAGAGCTTGAGATTGTTGGTAGCAGCACCTAAATTCTCCAAATTCCAACGCGTTTTTCACCTCTTCTATAATGCTATGCAAACCCTATTGATGGCACCACCTACAAAGAAATAGTAAATCCGAGTCGTGTCCTACAGACATTGTCCCTAAGAGTTATTCAGCAATTATCGGCAAAGCAAGAAGTGGCACTTCCCAAGATTAAACAAATCTTCCTATAAGAATAGGGTGAGCAAAACAACAAAGGATAAAAGAACTCAGCAAGACAGAACCCCAGAGAAGGAAGGAGAGTTGCCCAAAAACTCAGAGCACGACGGTGCCCTTTGAACTTCGGTCTCATGCCCTTTTTATAGGCTGTGGATCACAATACCATTAGGCACATTTAAATGCACTTAATGACAATTAATTCATAATTAAATTAGCAGTTTCAAGGAGTAATTAACTTGTTTAATGACTATTTAAGATGAATAAAATCTTCCATTACGAATATTGAAGAGGCATAATTGTAATTAAAATTTAGATAGATATTTCTAATAAAATGCCCATTACCACATTTGACTCATACACAAGGGATGAGGGAAATTGCCAGATTTGTCTCTGCTAGCCTGTTGTGCATGCGAGCTCGCTTCTTCTCTTGGCCCATATAGTAGTACAAGATCACTTATTATTTAGACCCCCATAATCTCAAGCAATGTGGGCCTCTTCCTTTGACACACCCACACGCAATATTTACAACAAAGAATATGTCTACAAGCCTTTTCATCACTGTTTAAGAGGGTTTAAGAAGCAATGGCAATAGTAATAAAACACACACACACACACACAAAATTCCACCATCAGAATAAAACTAAAGAAAGAAATTTAGGGAAAATGAAGAAAAGCCTTAGCTTGTTGGTGCATCTAATAGCTCATGCTTGAGAAAGAAAAAGAAATAACAGTTGGAGCGTCTTTTTCATTTTAATGAATAATGGCAAACTATTTGCAGGAAGAAGAGACCAAAGATGACTTGGAAGATACTGTTTCACGCATTTCTTTGTGGCTTATTTGGGTAAGCATCAAATCATTATTAACCCATTAATAATTACTAATAGTTAGTACCAACCATTTTATGCGCTTTTCTGTTCATATTGGAATATATAAGTAGTTTAATAATATTATATATGAATTCTTTTTCAATGAGACACGTAAAAGGTTCAATTTTGGGGGGAGAAAAAGAAGAAGAACATGATTCAATTTAGCGGCCACATATAAAATAACCCTACTTTAATTTATATTCATATGAATAGGATTAAAGTAATAAGAAACCTGAGGAAAAAGTTGGACAGAGAATTGACCTTTAATTGATTAGTGTCTAGTGATGATCAGCTGTCGTTGTTGATTATACCACTTGAAAGGATAAGTTCTGCAAAATTAAAGCATCAGAAAATTAGAAGAAATAGAATCGTGAGCACGCGTGACTCTTTCTCCGCCTTCCATTTGTAACTTGACGTGAATTATGTAGTCTTTTCAGGACCTCTAATTATATACTCTTTTTTCTTTTGCTTGTCTGTCACCCACCATTTAAAATAATATTTTTTATTAAAAAAATTTATTTTTTTTATTTTTAATTTTCCCCACTCAAGTTATTTCTATTCCATGCGCTTGCGTGTTTGGTACCCTTATTTCTATAAATACCCGTTAGGGCCATTTTTGTTTTTACTATTTATATGTATGGGTGACGCGGAGATATTTTATTTTACTTTTCTTCCCACTCAAGTCCAATCGGTTGTGTGTTTAGGAGACTTGGTTCTATCAAATGCTTATATAAGGCCTTGTTTGACTATTTCTATGTACAAGTGACAAGAAACACAAGCATTAATTACAATCACTTATGCTTCATGGCTTATTATTCATGTCTTTTCTCTGAACATTATGATATTAATTAACCTAATTAACTCATTTAATTATCTACTTATATTAAGCTTATTTTGGTTCTTGCAATTGCTACAGGCTAAGATGAGCAAGACTTACCCATGTTATTACTCAAGCACAGCTCCAATGAGTTTCATGGCAGCAATCTTATCAACTGCGTTTGCTTTTGCTTTTGAGAGTGATTTGAATCAATGGAAGTTTGGCTGGGATGTTAGGCTTCTTACGGTGGCCTATGCGGTACGAAATTTAATGAATGATTGTTCATAATTTGCAAAACCAAATTTGGTTCTTTATGAATTTTATATTTCATGTTTGGTTAAATTCCATTTTTTGTTCATATAAATTTTAACAATAAATATAGGGAATTATTGTCTCTGGAATAATGGCGGTGGTAATGGCATGGTGTGTGGACATGAAAGGCCCTCTTTATCTGAACGCTTTTAATCCTCTTCTCCTTGTCTTTGTGGCCCTAGCTGGTTCTTTTATGTTGGATGAGAAGCTATATCTTGGAAGGCATGCTTTCTCTCCACATCCATGCACACACGCTCGTGTATACACCACAAAAAAATTGACTTTCGATACCAATTTTTTGTCGCATAAGAGTTGCTACTTTAGTAGCCGTCACTAAAAGCTGTCTACCTCATCATGAGAGTCATCACCAAAAATAGTATATTTCAGTAGTGACTCTTTTAAATTTTGCGACGTTAAAATAGGATGGTATAGAAAATCATCACTTAAAGTCCTTTTTTGCAGTAATATACAATTTTTTAAATACTCTTTTATTTTTTAGGGTTAAAATGCATCAAGTATCTCAAAATATTTTCTCAGGTATATCTAGTACCTCGAAGTATTTTTTAGGTGCATCTAACACCTGAATTTTTTTTGGCTTTGGTGCTGGATATACAAAAAAATATTTTTTGACATGCTAGATGCACTAAAAATACTTCACAATACTTGATGCACCTGAGAAAATATTTTGGAGTGCTAAATGCACCTTAAATTTATTTTCTCAACTGAATTTTGAAACTTTTTTTTTGGCAATGTACATATAATTAAGTAGCATACAGAATTGCACGTGCATATTATATTTGACTTGTATATGTTTAAACGACTCGCCTTGTATCTAATAAGTTGGCATTGAAAATTTGCAGTATAATAGGAGGATTGTTAACAGTGTGTGGACTATATATGGTTCTATGGGGAAAAGGCAAAGAGATGAAGAATATGAAACAACTTATTCCATCACAAAGTAGCCTTCCTGAAATCATAGTGAGATCACCAACACGGGATAAAATCAGCCCTCATAGCAACAATCCTGAGGTTGAATTAGTTACTGATTGTGCTAATTCAAAGATTCATCGAAAATTGCAAGTGAAGGAGTATAATGCAATATAATGGCTTGATGAATAAAAGGTATTGAACTCAGATGATGATGAAGCCTATGATTTTTTTCATAGCCAAAGTGATCCTTTTCCAAAGGCCTCCACTCTTTTTTGGTGGTTTTAGAGGGAGGAAAAACAAAATGGTGTTTGGAGTATATGCGAAAAACTTGATCAATTATGTTGATTTGTGATCCTGAATATGGAAGGAACGTAATATATGTGCTGCGATATACATGCAAAGATCCAGAAATAATAACAGTTTATCTGAGGGTAAATTGATTAATTATTTATTGAAAAGCATGTTCAATTATGCCAAATTTTCATCTCAAAAAAGGGATTCAATCCTATTTCAAATGTTAGAGAGGGAATCTTGCAACACAAGAAAAGGCAATCATTAAAGCTGCACTTGAATTTAGTGTCATTTGTTCATAATCGCACGGTTTTAAACCGCGGTCTTGTTATTAATCCAGGAGCCTCAGCACTTAACTATCATATATTACCTCCCGTTGTTAATATAAGATCTTGTTTGACTTTTATTTTGATTCTAAATATAAGACTCCAATCCATTTTATCTTTCATATTTATCTTTTTTTTTTTCAAGTAATCTTCGTAATAATAGTAGTTCTAGCCAATATACTTAATTAACAAGAATATTTTAGGAAAAACAATACCTATTTATTACAAATAACCAATATAATTTTCTTAATCTACTGAAATTAGTCAACTAGCTCCTATATTAAAAACAAGAAGTAGTATCTTTTTTTGTAATGGTTTAGAGGGAAAGTACAAATGTGATTGAAATATGTCAAAAGCAGGTTCAATTATGCTAAATTTTAGTCCCAAATATAGAATGTAATTACGGGAGATCTATATGTTAAGATCAAATCTAAAACAGCATCAAGTTTCCTAAAATCTAAATTCCGACCCGGGCCGAAAAATTCTGCTTTCAGACGGGTTTGCTTTTAGCTAACCCCAACCGTTACCATGGAACCATCGTCGTCACTTCGATCATTGCCTCACTGCTTACCACCATCATCACTAGTCGCCGCACCGCCATCACCATCATCAGTCATTATCGTCACTGACCATTATTGTTGTTGCCATCGCTCATTGACCACTGTACTGTTGGACAACATTACCAGCCATCACCATTATTTTCATACTAAAAGAAATCTTTTTCTATAAAAATGAATATAATATAGCAGTTTTAAATGAATTTATTTAATTTTAAATAAAGATTTTTTTTCAACAAGTTAATTTTTATTCTATACGTGTACAATGGCATTGTATATATATCACCAAGCATATATGATAGTGCTAGTTATACAATAATATATGTTAATACTAAACATGGCATACGATTAAAACTTGATCAAGTCTAATCGGATAAAACCTGATACTATTAGACTATGAATGCAATTCTATTTGAGGTATTATCAAACACTAATTATAGGAGATTTGAACATTAGTTCGTCATGTTGTGAGGTTTGCTTAGTTAGAAAACAAAGTGGGACTCATCAAATTAAAAGTAAAATGGATGATTGCCCCCATTAACGAAAAAGACATTTTTTTCTTCGTTTGGAAAAGTTCATATGTATTTTTACACCCAAACAAATTTTGTGATGCCAAGTGCCTATTTCGTAAATGCCCAACGAATATATTTGTATCTTAACCGTTGATATTATCTACATTTTGTAAGCCATTGTTTTTTAAAATCCCTCAATTTGAATTGGCCCGCCTTCATTATTGTACTTGGGCACTCAAATATGCCTAGAAAGATTCAAGTACATCATGATTAATTATCCGAGCGTGCTGAAGAGGATTAAACTAAGATTCAAATAATTTAAACACTTTACACATTTTTAATCCAACTCTCTTCACATACAGAGCAAGAGAATTTAAGTTTGATAGTATTTATTATTATAACATTATTATGACGTAATTATTCTAATATTCAAGGAATTTCGTTATTATAAATTCTAGTTACTATATTAATCAAATTATAATTAATTAATAATTAGTGTATTATAATTATTTTAATAGTATAATATTGTTGTGAATAAATTATAGTTATTTATTGTTTTCTAAGTCTTAAATATAGGATGTTACACTTATTATGATTAAGAAAAACGGGTAACTTAGGGCAGAAAAAACGTGTAACTTAATTAGGCTCCAAGCCGGTCGAGAGCTTAAAAAAATTGAGTAAGTACTTCGTCTTCAAACCTGAAAAGTTATTTATGTATGATTTTTTTTATTATGTTAATAATCAAACTAATTAACTGGACCGTCTTATTATTTTTTGCCACCAAATCGACCGTATTAGTATATTCCCCATATTTTAAACTACACCTAAAGTTAAGTGAAATAAAGAGTAATTTACACTTGATCTTGGCCAAAAGGCCGATAAAGAAATTAGTAATTGACTCTAGTTTAATTGAATATCTTGATTATTACACTACATATAACATAAACTCTAAATAAAATCACACTATTTTAAGTTTTATTTATATGAAATAGTCTTAGTCAAAAATATTTTGAGGTTAGCAGCCTTTCAGCCGTAATTTTTTGGTTCTGTAAAAAAATATCTTCTATTAACATTTTGGATGCACTTTCCGTATGCTGTAACTAAATACTTGAAGAAGTATAAAATTTATGAATTTATGGATGGTGATGGTTAAAATATTATAACCTTTTATTACAAATTTCATGTTGATATACAAGTAACCAATTTGGGATTTTGCTTATTGGAGTGATCTTTTTGGAATTTCAAATGTTATTTTATTAGAATTTTGCCTTAGATTTAACTTAATAAAGATAAGAAACACATTTTGTAGGCTTTGTAATTTTTCAAAAAATTAGGATGGCAATGAGTGTTTAATAAAATTTGCGAAGGACAAAGAATGACATTTGTAGGGAGGATTATTCATTAAGTGCTCTCAGTCCAAAAAAGATTATTTTCAAATTCAATGTGACTTGAGAATACCCTAGTTCGACCTAAAAAAATTTAGGTGAGGTGTGTAATTTAATGTTCATTTCTTGAGCTCTACTAGGACCTATGGCCTAACCTACTTAAAGCTTAGTCTAGCTTATTTAGTAAATAGACTAGACTCATAATCAAACATATTTTTAGACCTATTTAGGCAAACAGGATAGACCTATTTTTATAAGGCCTAGTTCATAAGCCTCCAAGCCTGACTTACTTTTTTTTCCCGTTTGCGCCATTATATATAATATAATATAAATTAATTTCATAAATTATTTATAACATTGCAAATTTTGGTTTGACCCTAAGTTTCACATCGTAACATTCCTGCATAAGATCATCTCCCTTCCATTTATTAGTCATTCACTTCTACCTCTCTTCTCTTTGATCGCTCTATATGATAATATTAGCTCACATCTCTCCTAGTTTGTATTGTTTGCCAAAGCATAACAATTGTTGTAAATTTGTTTTAGTGATACCTAAATGAAATATTATAAACTCAGTAGGAAGAATTTGCCACAATTTATGTGTGAAAAGTGAAAACTAAAAGAGGTAAAATCTAGTTTTACATGTTACTTATTGTGCTTGATTAATTTTAGAAAACATATATATTTAGTTAATAGATATTGGTGTTTATTATTCTTACTTAATCCAACACATATTGTCACTATGCATTCTTTTTTTTTCCCTCTTGGTAAACTCTTATATTGTAAGTGAAAATGAATTCTAGGCTTTTAAATATGTTTGAAGGGTTATATATGAACTTAGAGGGATAGACTTTTAAGTTTAGACATTTAAAAAGATTTCAGACCTTGTGAGGTCTTTTAAAGGCTCAGACTTAGACTTAAAAATAAGCATATATACAAGCTTTTACCTTAAAAGAACCTATATGCAGACTCAAGCCTAGATTTAGGCTTTAGATATATATTGCACATGTATAGCTATTTAGCTAAAGTTTAGTTTGGCCTGCTTGTTTCCATGTCTGGCTTCACATCTGAATTGAAAGTTGAAACAAGGCTATGCAATCAATATCAATATAATTTATATAGTAAATTTATACAAGCCATACATTTTTTAATAAATGATCGATTATATAAAATGAAAATAATTATATTTATTATGCTTACGTGTAACTTCGGTGGCAAAACAAAAACAAAAACAAAAAAAGAAAAACGTGTAACTTAATTAGGCTTCAAGTCGGTCGAAAGCTTGAAAATAATTGAGCAAGTACTTCGTCTTCAACATACAGCATTCGCAATAAATATCTTTCCTGTAATTTACTGGAAGTAGAAACCATGGAAGTGTAAATCGCAAATTTTGAAACCTCCTGGAAAGTTACTTGCGTATGATTTTTTTAATTATGTCAATAATCAAATCAATTTACAGTATAATTAACTGAACTTATTATTATATTCCCCATATTGTAAACTAATTAAATTTAAATTCAAGTGAAATAAATAATAATATAATTTATATTTTGATTGAGTATCTTGATTATTACTCTACATCTATTATGTAACATAAACTTCAAATAAAATCGCACTATTTTAGGTTTTATATGTATAAAATACTCCCAGCCAAAAATATGCTCAGGATAACAGCCTTTTGGCCGAAATTTTTTAATGCTGCAACATGTTTCCTCCATTAACTTTTTGGATCCACTTTTGACTTTCCATATGCCCTCCGCAGCGTCTTCCACTAATCAATAGAGTAACTTGTACAGCAATAGCCACTAATTGTTACTGCTCTGCTTCTACTTATAAGAGTAAGAGAGAAGTTTTTTTTCAGTCATTTTTGTAAGACACTTTATTAAATTCTTAACATTAATGTACTATTTTGTTCTTTATTTATTATAATACAGATAGTTATTTTTTTAAAAGGTGTATATATTAAATATGATAAAGTTAGAAAATTGTTATATTTTAATAAAGTGTTAATACAGTTTAAGATTTTTCTTAATCTATATAAAATATGTTGAAAGTGCTTTATAAATAGGACCAAAAAAAAGACCATTTAGAAGCATTAAAGAA